TGTTCATCCTGACAGCATTTCTTGTCACCACCATCAATGGCATTTGGTCTCCGGAATAGAGATAATCTACTTAACCCATTTTCTTTATTATGACGGAGAAAAAAAAGAAAGCACGGGTGCGTATTTCTTAACATCCTCCCTTTGTCATTGTTCTTTTTTTTTTTTGGCATAAAAAGCTTATTTCTCAGTAATCTACTGACAAACTAATCAAATATATATATATATATACGTATATACATGTGAAATTTGGTTGTTTATTATTCATTTAATTTGGATGTAACGGAATACATGTCGGTGCTTTTGTATATATATATGTGAGTACATGTACATATTTATGATTCTCTTTATCCTAACTAGCCAATTTTAACGCCATTATTCAACCTAACTACTTATCCATCAAATATTTGATTAAAACTGCAAATTTATAAAATTTGGACCAAAAACTTTATGTAAAATTTTTCATGAATATCAAAAAGCCACTTTGCTTGCTGTATAATGATCTGAAACAGCCCTCAGAAGTTATCTTGACCATCTTTGTCAGAAAAGGTCAAATTACGAGCAATCTTGTTGTTTGAAATCTAGAAGAACTCATAATTAAGCCATTAATCTTAGCATTGATTTTTCTATTTTTTCTGTTTCTATTGTTTTGCAGAAGCAAATTTGTACATGGATTCCTATTGAACTTGTTGCTACAACTATCATTGTTATCATCACTTTAACAGCTCTTCGCAGCACCACCGCCAAGATTGCTTTTGTGGGTGTTATAGCTGATGTCTTCAATGTTATTATGTATGCATCACCTACTCTTGCAGTGGTACGTTGACACCTCTTCTATCGACAACATTTATAATTTCACTGGTCTTTTTTTTTTTTTTTTTTTTTTTTTTTTTTTGTATTTAAGGTGTATATACATACGCATATATGCTTTAATTACGTCTCTCTTTCACATGTTTCTTATTTTGAACAGAAAAAAGTGATTGAAACAAAGAGTGTGCAATACATGCCGTTTTGGTTGTCTTTTGCTGGGTTCATCAACGCTATCGTTTGGACCGCATATTCACTCATCCACAAAATAGACCTCTACATTTTGGTATATCCTGGCTTTTAGTAATTTCCTAATTACTTTAGTAACTCCCAGTATTTAATCTAGTTTTGCAATTAAGGTCTTTTGAGTCATAATGAGACTAAAGTCTTGTTAAAGGTAAATTAAGAAATTTACAAAAGAAAATAAAAATCATCACTTAAAAATTGATGTACAAATTATAATTTATTTTATTTATTATTTTAAATTAAAATAAGATTTATTTTTTAATAAAATTTAATTTATGTTTATCTTTTAAATATCATATAATTATGAGAGCTTATTTCTGTAGAAGATTTAACTCATATTAAATATTATGTAATTAGTGATATCTTACTTTAAAAAAATTAATTAATGTGTAAATGTATTTAAAAGCACATTAAGTTAATTTTTGAGTTAATCGAAATTCAAGTTTTTTTCATCTATAAAAACTCCAACAATGAGGACCGCTCTCCAAAAAAAAAATCTTAAAATTTGTTGCTTTCAGACATTACATATTTAGAAAAAAAACAAGGTTCTATAATTTGCTTATTCTACTAATAAATTAACGATATTGATATATTTTTGATTGTTTGGTGGTTTGCAGATTAGCAATGGTATTGGCTCACTCTGGGGTTTAACTCAACTGATCATCTATGCAATCTACTGCAAGTCAACACCAAAATCTGAAGAATCCGACAAGAAGCAGCAACAACAGCAGGAAATCCAGCTCTCCGAGGTCTAAACCTAGAATCCCCTTTAAATTCTCTCCAGCTCTTTCTTCTTTCTCTTCTTTGTAAGCATCTAATCTCAAGATTGTAGAGCTTTATTCTTTTCCTTTCTCTCATAGGCACTTTAGTGCAATAGTTTTTCTTTTTCACTTAATTGTGTTCATTGCATAGTTAAGTACATACCTGAATTCATATCGATGGTATAATTATTCGTACTTATTTTTATGTGAATATATTCTCATCTATTCTTACCGAAAATTGTTGAAATGAGCGCTAGAATTTTGATCATTTGAGTGCATTTATTTCATTGATATTATATCTGTAATAACTGGAAAAAAGGAAAGAAAAAAAAAAGATAGAGGAAAGGGAAAAACGACGTCATTTTGCAGAGGGGAGAAAACGGCGTCGTTTCGGAAAAGGAAAAACGACGTCGTTTTGCAAGGGGGAAAACGACGCCGTTTTGAGGAAAAACTGGGGTGATTTAAGTAGGGGGCGGGGGAAGGAAGAGAGGAAGAGGAGAAAAGAAAAGAAAAAAAAAAGGGAAAAAGAGAGCACATGAAGAAGGGGAGCGGGAGAGAGAGAGAAGAGGAAGGAAGGTTCCAGAAGGAGGGAGAAAGGAAGCAGAGCAGAGATAAGAAGAGATCGCGGACGGTGATAGCACATTCGGCCGAAAGAGGGAAAAATGGAAATGGAAGGTATGGCACCAAACTCTAAATGTGTGTTGATTTGATTGTGAAATGGTTGGATGTGTGGTGTGCGTGGACACGGCTTACGGAGGTAGCGGTATACGGAAGAGGCTGGGTGAGGATGTGTAGTGAGGCGGGTGGAAGGAAGCGGACCGAGTGAGGATCGCGGGAGGAGAGAGAGAGAAGGTGACGATACGGGCGGAGGTCGGG